ATGGCCCATCGGTAGACGCTCTCTCCCCCCAGGTTCCTGCCCCGCCTCTCCCTGTGTCCTCTGGCCCCTCCTCTGTTTCTCTGGCCTCTTTGTGTCTCTCTTCCCACACTGTTGTGTCTTCCTCTAGTGTCTCCGTCTCCCCCGTCCTCTTCGCGGCTCTCTATCTCCTTTTCTTTCTTTCTCTTGCTGCCTCCCTCTCTACCTCTCATTGCTTCTCCTTTTCTCTCTGTCGGCCCTCCTGCTTCTGTGTCTCTCCCTGCCTCGGCCCTTCCTCTCCTGCTCTCACCAACGTCTAGGCTGTGACCGCGTGGGAGAACTGGGGTAGACTCCCGCCAGGCCAGGCGGCCCCCAGCCAAGCCCCACCCTGCCCCAGGGCTGCCGGGAGTGGAAGGAGGGGGCGGAAGGTCAAGGGTGGGGTGGCTCTGGGGAAGGCACAGATTTTCCAGAAGCTTGGAGCACACCCAAGCAGACAGGTGTGTTTCTGGTCCAGCAGGTTCAGCTGGGGCCGGCTGACTGAGGACAGGACCTAATTAGAAGCGCTGACTGTGGACGAGGAAGGTGTCTTTAGCTGGGAGGAGTGGTGGGCGGGGGTGGGAGCTCCTGGGAGGTGTGGCGGGCACCTCTGGGGACTTTCTGCAGCGGGCAGGAGGAAGTGCCTCCCCACGGTGGGGAGCTGGGGGCTCCTCTCAGGGTGGCCTCGCATGCACGGAGACTGACTGACGCAGCTGCCTGCAAGGGAAGGGAGCAGGGGCACATCTCACTCATCCTCCAGCACTCAGCTCTCATGTCCCTTCTAAGAGTCTATCTCTTGAGGCCCCCAAATTAGTACTCTCCTCTTCTGGTCTCCTTTGGCAGTCTGTTCATTTGTCATTATTTATTTATGTGTTTCTGTTTGTGTATGTACACATTTTGTTCTCTGTCTTTCCCACTAGATGACAAGCACCCTGAGAGTCGGGACCGTGTGCACCCATTCGTGTCTGTCCCTGCTCCCGGTGCATAGCAGGTGCTCAGTAAACATCCAGACACGTGGAATCCCAAGGTCTGGGGGACAGGGGCTGTGACTGTCTGTTGACTTGTCTTAGAGCAGGTGGCAAGAGCAGTCGATTTGTCTCTTCTGTCCCCACCGAGCCCCCACTTGTTCATCACGTGGAGGTGGTGGTGCCAAGAGTGCGCAGATGGAAGCTGACCTGGGATCAAACCGGATTACAGCAGACCCCCGGAGCAGACACCTGCAAGTGGCTAACAGAGAGGGCTGAGTGCCTAGTACCAGGCAGCGGTCCCTTCTCTGTGCAGACTCTGCTGGGCACAGGATGTTCGTGATTTCATTTAATTCTCCAGACAGCTCTGGACAGGAGCTGTCATTTCTTTTTGACAGCTGAGGAAACTGAGGCTCGGTTTGGGGAGATTGTGACTTTCTGAAGGTCATGTAGCTCACGCATGGCAGTGCTGAGCTGAACTTCTGTCCCTTTGTCCACACATCAGGATGTCCTCCTGGTTGCTCACACGACTTTCACAACTGGTGACCGGAAGTGGACAAGATACCCAGGGGTCCCTTGACTCAGAGTTCACTGGAGCAGTTATTTCCCTTGATCCAACAATATCTTTCAATTAATCAGGTGATACATGTAAAACCTCTGTAAGTGGTATAGATCTGAATTCATGTTGTAATAATAATAATAGTATTAATAATAATAATAGCAATGCAGTCCAAGATTGCATTGCCTTTTGGTTACGTTGTCAGCCCCACTGGCCCGCTGAGTCTTCCCATCACAACGGCTAGTAACTCACTTCTCACCCCACCGCGCCCTCACCAGGCCTGTTTTTCAACCTCAATGCAGGACTCCAGTGTGTCTTGATTCAGTGTCATGTTAATAGTGTTTCCTCATAGTTAAAATCTGTTGAAATCTTTTTGAATTTTGATTTTTATCCTCGTCTGTGAGCCATCGCTCACATCTTCATCTTCAGCTCTTTAATTCAAATCCTTCATTACCCTTCCCCAAACACCCACATGTACTGGACAATGAGCGCCAGGCGCTCCTACAAACGTCACTAAACCTGAGAAGAGATGCTGTGATCCCCATTTCACAGATGAGAAACTGGGGAGACATGCCCACCATCCTAGACTGAGTGCCCACTTCCCTGCAATACCATTGCCTTGCAGTTTCCCCGAAATCGACCTCCAGGAGAAAGTGACCCATTAGCTACAAGTCGACCAATATTGCTTTCCTTAGGGAGGTCTTCATGCGGAGACGGGCGGGATGAGGCAAGGGAGGAGAGCTGCCAGGGAAACGACATGAGGTGGTTGTGGGCTGTGGACCTCAGAGTCCCCTCCATTTCTTTGCTTGGTCAATTTTTATTCATCCGTCGGTTCCCAGTCTAAATGTCATGTCTTCAGAAAGGACCAGTCCCCGTCCCCGCCCCCCACCAGCTATACACTTACTCAGAAACTTGCCCCTTCCCGGCACTGAATGATTTGGAGCTGTATTTTAATTCTGTTGTTATTTATTCTATACCTGTCTTCCTCACTTGACCTCCCCCGTGCACTCTTAGCTCCTGAGATGCTGTCAGCTACACCAGCACAAAATGGTAGCCTAATACATATTTGTGAATGAATCAAATGTCCTCAGTATCTTGTCTGAAACAATGGGATTGAATCCAGTGACCTGGGCATTTTTCAGATCTAAGACCTGGGCTCAGTTTAAGGGTCTGAGTAAGGCCTCTGACTCCGCAGCTCTTGAGGTGGAAGGTGGGCGAGGGAAGAGCAGGATAAGGGAGCTGGAGTCCCACCCTGGCTGGGCCACTAGGTGGCGCAGGTGAGCTGGCTGCCTGGCCCGGGCTGGGGGCTGGGCAATCCCTGGTGGGTGTGGAGAGGGCGCCTCTTTGCCAGGGCTGACTGCCTGGACCTGCTGGGTGAGGAGGCAGGGTGCCCAGCTGGTGCAGGTGCAGGGAGGAAGCGGGAATGGCTGGAGATGCAAACGTGCCGGGGCAATGGCTGCAGGGGTGAGTCAAGGGTTGGAGTCCCGGTATTTCTGGCCATAAAACTACTCTTGGCACATCAGGAAGCAGAGTGGCAAGGCAGCCTGTCCTGAGACTGAGAGGTCGGAGAGAGGCCCGCCCCGTCTCCCAGATAGGCTCCTAGCCGTCCCTTGGGATGAGTCTCCTTCTTGCTCCTGGTCAGCTCCTGCTCCCACTGCCCTCGCAAATGTTCCCACATTTCACTCCTTCCCCGGGCTTCGGTCCCAGCCCTCTTCCTCTCAGCAGATAAAGTTGAGGCCCGTGCCACAGACCCTCTCTCAGCTTCCTGTGACCTTGCAAATGTCCCTGCCACCACATTCCCAAATGTAGTTCTTTAGACTTTTTTCATTCTTCACATCAGCCTCAGAAGGTGATGAGTTCCCTCCTCTGTTTAAGTCCAACGCTCTGCTTCTTCCCTTCATTTCCTCCTGTTCATGCTCTTTTGGGATCCCTCTTTTTCACTCATCACCTTTACTTCCCTAATTTATATTTATAGCCAAAACGTCTTTCTTTAACACCCTGTTCAAATTCTAACTCTGTGCTAGTCTCCACTTGTCTATTTAGTAGGCATGTGAACCTGTAATGTCCAAAGCTGGGCTCCTGGTCTTTCTTCTGAAACTGCTCCCACCGCAGTAGTCCCCGGCTCAGTAATTGGATGCCATTCTTCCAGCTGTTCAGGTAAAAACCTTGGGACCATCGCCGACTCCTTTCGTTCTCTCATTTCTGTCTTCCGGCTGGCTCTACCTTCAAAATATATTCAGTATTCAGCCATCCTCAGTACTTCCCTGGCTACCACTCTGGTTTCAACAACCGTCATCCATCATTGAAGAGTTGCGGTGGCTTCCTGACTGGTGTCCTTGATTCTTTTCTGTTTGTGTATGTACACATTTTGTTCTCCCCCAGCCCTTGAGTCTGTTCTCAACACAGGAGCCAGAGAGAACCTGGTAAAATCCGAGTCGGATCATCTCTCTCCTCTACTCAAAATCCTCTGATGGCTTTCTGTGTCCCTCAAAGCAAGAGCCAACGTCCTTACTATGGCTTAAAAAGTCCTACGCAGTCTGGCTCGTCATGTTGCCTCTGACCACACCTCCTGCTATTTCTCCCCTCTCTCTCTGCACTCCAGCCTCACTGGCCTCCCCCTGCACCTCCAACACACATTCCCTTCAGTTTCATACACTGGTAGTACAGTTAGATTAAAAAAATACATCCTGTGCTCTATCTTGGAATTGCGCCTGCCTCCTAAATGATTGGAAAAAAGACTTGCAGGGATTTGGGATCATTCTTGGTGCTCAGTGGGCTTTGACAAATGCACACTCGTGTTTCACAACTGCAGTATCATTCAGAGTATTTTCATTTCCCTGAAAAAACCCTTTGTAGTTCTCTTTGACCTGTTTGACCCTGATCTCCTGGCAACCACGCGATCTTTTTACTGTCTCCATAGTTTTGCCTCTAACAGAAGTTCATATAATTGGAAGCAAACAGTCTGGAGCCCTTTCAGACTGGCTTCTTTCCCTTATTGATATGTATTTAAGGGTCATCCATGTCTTTTCCTGGCTTGATAGCTCATTTTTAAAAAATTGCTGAATATAGTCCATTGTATAGATATACCACAGTTTGTTTATCTCTTCCCCTATTGAAGGACATCTTGGTTGCTTCCAGTTTTTGGTGATTATGAATAAAGCTGCTATAAATATTTGCATGCAAGTTTTACATAGAATAAGTTTTCAGATCAGTTGGATAGATCCCTAGACAAACGGTTGCTAGATAATGTGGTAAGACTGTGTTGA